TCTCTCCTCTTCGCTGCGCTTGCCAGCCCGCGCTGGCATCGCTCTGCAGCCGCGTGCTGTTCCAGGGGGGCGGCGCGCTGCTTCTCGGCGATCGCCGTCCAAAGCAGGAGACCTGCACCCCAGAATCGGCTGGTACGGCTGGTGCGGGTTGACATGCGGCTCCTGCCCAGCCGCGACGTCGCCTGTCGCGGCCAACTCAATGCCGCACCCGTCGCGTAACTACTGCAACGTGTCGTCGACGCCAGCGAGAGGAACCGCTTCGAGCAGCACGCGTTCAGGAGTGTCTGACAGAATCTTCCTAAGATGCGCACGCGCCGTCGGCAAGCATTGGGCAATGGCTGCAGGCCTCCCCACCCGCGCGGCGGTGGCAGAAAAACCGAAGCCCATGCCGCTGAGATCCGAAGGCCAAGCGAGTTGTTTCGCCGTCTCCTCGGTCCAGCCACACTCGCCACCACCAGCGCACGCAAGGTGCTTGCACGCCGCGAATACAGCGCGATCTAACTCCTCGGCGAGGGGCAGAGATGCCGATGGCTCCAACGTCGTGATGTCATAGACCAGCGCCTTCGCCACCACGCTGCGAAGCATATGCCATGCTGCCTGCCAGGTGGCCTCCGGTCGACCTTCGCACCGGTAGGTGGCGCATTCAGCTGCTAACCGCTCTGCCTGTGCGAGCGGTTCCCTAGCAGGGCCCGCGGCCACGGAATGCGGCCCCAGGAGGCCTTCGAACTCGCCCCCGCACGCGCGCCCGAGCGCCAGTAGGCCTCCGGAGACTTGGGGAACGCTGGTGATGAGCTCATCTCGTTCGCCCCCTCCGTCCCGCTCTGGAACGAAAGCTGCCGATTTGTCGAGGTTGAGTCGCATGCCCGCCAGCGACAGCTCCTCAGACAGGATCTCCACAGCTCGCTCCACGTGCCGCGGTTCAGCGATGAGCATAAGGTCGTCTACCAGGCTAGGCAAGTGAGCCCAAATGCCCTCCGATGTAGTGCGCCGCCATGCCGATTCAATGACTACACGGTATCCTCTCGAGAAAGCTGGCGTCGAAGAAATATAGCATTGGACTGTGCCTTCGTGCGCGGTCGTCTCCTCCCACTTCCCCGGCTCCGCCTCGATCCAAGCCGTAGTCGATGCGCTCCACTGGCCTGCAAGGAAATTGGCGTGCCTCGGGCACCAGCGCGTCGCGCCCTGCAGCATCACCGCCCTCTTCGTGCGTCCGTAGGCGCTCTCGCCGTCCAGGCTGACATAGGCGAGGCCCGGCCTCAGGTGCATCATCCCCTGCCCAACCATGAGCAAGAGTTCTGGACCTGCAGGCTGGCCTCCGTATTGCGACCAATGCAACCCCTCCCCCGTGCCGTCCTTGGCGCCCACCTCCCTGACGACATCTGGCACGATGCCGCTGGCAAACTTCAGGGCGCACTCCATGAACGAGATGTTCCGCGGCTTGTCGTTGGGCTTCCGGAGGGGCCTCAAGACTTGCTGTCGCTGTTGCTGCTGCTGCTGTTGTTACTGTTGCTGTCGCCGTCGTCGTTGTCGTTGCCTTTGTTGTTGCTGTCCTTTTGTCGTTGTTGTCGTTGTGTGTTGGTATTGTTGTTGTGGTTGTGGTTGTGGTTGTGGTTGTGGTTGTGGTTGTGGTTGTTGTTGTTGTTGTGGTTTGTTGTTGTTCGCCCGCTAGGGCCTGCCCGCCCGATCTGCCCGTCTGGTTCTGCCACGTGTTTTGTTGTTCCTAATTTTCCATCTTTCCTCTTTCCCCTTCCATCCGTCCTCTCTTCACTTGTTTAGGGGCTGCGCTAGATACGCGTGGGAGGTGGGGAAGATCTACCCCCAAGGGGGCACGATCGAAGACGAAAACGGCGTTTACCGAGGATTCGGCATACACGTGTTGAATGGCACGCGAGCGGGTCGGAGCGAACAGTCTTAAAATGAATGTTGGTGTTGATGTTCAACTTTCGCATCTAACTCTTAACTGTTGATTCCCCCCCTCTGGCGCACACTGTATGTACCCAAATGAAGTGCCCCTCCCGGGGCTCGCAACTGGTTTTTATTCAGGGGAAATCTTGGAGGTCGAACTGCCCCCCTTGCCCCCGGGTTGCAACAACACCGCATCCGATACTTCCTCACAGTGTATTCCATAATCGCGCTCTCGCGCCGAACTTCCTCACGATGTATACAGGAATCGCGCTCTCGCGTGGGACTTCCTCGTAATTCATTCAGACGCCGCGCCCCCGACATTCAGAAAACACGCTGTCGCCGTGGGAATCGCCCGATCGCTCGAGACCTCCGCACGATTCATGCAGGACGCCTGCTCGACCTGGCCGCCTGGGTCTGCGTCCCCGACCCGCCTCCAGGGTCAACCCGCCCGATCTGTCCGCCTGGTTCTGCCACGTGCATTGTGTTCCCAGCCTCCCTTCTGCTTCCCCCTCTCATGCTCCATCCTCGTCCCTCCCTCTTGTCCATTCCTCCCATCCGTTCACGATGTATCGGCCTCAGGGGCTGCACGAAATACACGCTGCAGGTCAAACAAATATGCACCGAACGGGGTATAATCGCAGACGAAAGCGGCGGGTATCGAGGCTTCGGGATATACGTGCTGAGTGGCGCGAGAGCACCTAAGAACGAGCACTGTTAAAAATAGTGCTGTTGTTGCTGCTGCTGTTGCTGATGTTGTTGTCGTTGTTGTTGCTGTTGTTGTTGCTGTTGTTGTCGTCGGCCTCGCCCGCGACCCGCTTGCGACCCACCCAACGACCCACGCGCGACCCACCCGCAACCCACCCACATTGCTTTGACGAAAGCTCGGCGCCTGCGACAGGCTCATTGTGCAACGTGTAACACAGTCGGCGCCTGCGGCGGGCTTCTTCAGTGCCTTGCAGACTGCCGACGACCCCGCGGCCCCCTCACTATGATCTGCAACTGCGGGGTGGGGGTTGCGCATTTTTGTGGCGGATACGTACCCACCATATTTTCGGACAGACGTAAAAATCGAGTTCGGGGGACCCGCGTTGGCCTGACGGGACAATCGTGCAAATGACGAGACCCAATCTGAAATTTGTGACGCGAACTACCGCTGCAAACACCCCACGAAAACCAGACCGTCAAAATCCATGGCGTGCTCGCCAAAAACCGCTGGCACACCCGCGCTCCGGCGCACTCAAGATTTACGTTCCCCCGATCATAACACCGAACCTAGACATCCAGCCGCTCCAGCATTTGCCGCGCGTGGTCCCCAGAGGTCCTCCCCAGGGCTGGTTTTTCCTCCGGGAGCGTTCCTTGGCGCCTCCGAAGCCCAGCGAAGGCCCCCAGACGCCGAAACCTGCCAAAATCCCGCCGCCCCATGTTTTGCAGAAGCGTCGAATCTCTGGATCTCTGGGAAGAGGAGGAGGACGAGAAGGAGGACGACGACGATGAGGAGACGAGAGGAGAAGGAGAAGGAGGAGGAGGAGGAGGAGGAGGAGGAGGAGGAGGACGACGAGGAGGATGGACGGACGGACGGACGGATGGATGGATAAATGAGGCCTTGGCGACCGTCTGCGCGCAGACGACCGCCAGGGCCCCAGATGTCGAGTCGCGAGCCCCAGCGGCCGCCCGCGCCGCCCCCCCAAAAATGAAATCAGAGGTTGGGGGCCGTCCACCATGGGCCCCGTGCGCGCCGACGGCGAGCGTCGGGCAGGGGCACGCCTCGCAAGGCGGGGGGGTGCGGCGCCGGCGGCGCTGAGGGCGCGCCCGCCCACTTTTCGCCACCGCCTGCGGCCTGGAGGGGGCGGCAGGGACTTCCAGGCGGGGCGGTGGCCCCGCGGGGCGCCGCGCCGGCGGCGCTTCCCCGCCCTCGCGGCGGCCCCGAGGGCGCGTCAGCCCGCTCCTCGCCACCGCCCGCAGCCAGGAGGGGCCGGCAGGGGCCTCCTGGCGCGGCGGTGGCCCCGCGGGGCGCCGCGTTGGCGGCGCTTCCCCGCCTTCACACAGGCGGCTGGCCGCGGAGCACCTCGAGGGCGAGGGCCTCCTGGAGGAAGCGAGCTCCTAGGGGGATAGCGCGAGGCCCTGCGCCTGCGCCGCGTCCACGAGGGATTCGGGCATCGCGTCGGGCGAAAAGCTGAACCGCATTGCCAGCGCCGCCCGCCGCTGACCGAAGCCAACCCACCACGGCTCCGACTTGCGCGCCGCCTCGCCCTCTGCCTGCCCCGTCGCGGGAACCGCCGAAGGCGCGCCCAACGCGGGGGCGCCGGGCGGCCTACCAGCAGGAGTCGCCCCTTTTTGCCAGCAGGTTCCGCTGCGGCGGCGGGCGGCGCGCCGCGGGCCAGGCCTTCGGCCCAGCTGTCGTCGTCGAGGGAGGCGTCGTCGTCGCCGTCCCCGGGGTCGCGAAGACCGCCGCCGCGCCTGGGCCTCCCGCCCGCGCTGTAGCCGCCCCCGACCCGCCGCCCGCCTCCGCCGTCTCGCCCTCCGCGTGCATCCTCGCCGTAGCAGCGGCTGCGCCTCGCCGAAGTCGCCCGCGGCGGCGTTTCTGTCGAGGCGCGGGGGCGCCTGGCGGCCGCGGCTCCGTCTTGGGAGCGTCGGCGGCAGTTCCAAGATGTCGCTGGGGGGCTCGAGCCAGCGCAGGTTGGCGGGGCTGGCTGAAGTCGTCGATCGCCGCCCGCAACATGCCCTCCGCCGCGCGCAGGAGGCGTCCCGCCACGGGACGACGCCTCCCCTGCCAGCCCGCTGGCGGCGTGGGCCGCCAGGAACGCGCCACGAGCGGTCTTCAGGGCCCCTCGGTGCGCAACGTCCGCGCCGCTGGCTTCAGTGCGCGCGGCGAGCCCAGCGGTGGCCATCACGGCGGACGGCGGGCGCAGGCCTAGGCGGCACACGGTTTGACACTGAGCGGCTAGGAGGAGGAGGAGGAGGAGGAGGAGGAGGAGGAGGAGGAGGAGGAAGGAGGAGAAGGAGGAGGAGGAAGGAGGAGGAAGGAGGAGGAGGACGAGGAGGAGGAGGAGTAGGAGTAGGAGGAGGAGGAGGAGGAGGAGGAAGAACCCCCTTGGCACCTCCGCGGCACGCGCCTCCCAGCCCGTGTTGCCAGGGCCCCGCTGCAGCCTCTGCTCGAGCTGCTGGAGCTTCGCTTCGAGCCCGGGCCTCGCTTCGGGATGGGGGCCCAAGGAACAAACAGCGACAAACAGTTAACCCGTACAGGAAGGGTGCGGTAAGGATGCGAGGGCCTTGGAGGGCCACGTCGACACTTTGCGTGCGGGGCGCGGCCAACGAAAGTGGCCAAGGATGGGCCGATGCGGCAAGGATGCAAGGGCACCCTTGGGAAAATTGAACATCCTTACTGTGCGGATTGACTGTAGACATAAACTGTCGGAGGTCCGCGCGGATTTCTCAGATTCGTGCTGGGGCCCCCTGGCAATGCCTCCGGCGCTGCCCCCGGCGCGCCCCGCGTGCCAGGGAGAAGGTCCGGTTCCGATCCAAGAAATCCAAATCCGCACGGACCTCCGAAAATGCAAGTCTATCCTATTATTGATTCTCCCAGTGGCGGCGCCATGATGCGATTGGCTCAGGAGGCGTCCCAGGAATTTTGGACTTATCTGGCGGCCCAAAATGGGCTCTCGAAGAGACAGGGCAATGTCTATACTGTTAGCGTTTTGTTGCGCTTGTTATACTATTTCTCGCGCCATGCCGTTCTTTTGACATTTCTGGCGCCCTTGAAGTTTTTGCTTCCCCTGGTTGGCGCCTCGTTCTGATGACAAGTGGTTTTCAGGATCCGAGCCGTTTTCGAACCGGTCCCGAAAGTCCTTCAGATCCCTGCCCTAGACACTTCGGGAACCATGTTTTCTACAACTTCGGTGAACTGTTTTTGACCGTTTTCGCCACCGAGAGGCAGCTCTTGAAATCGGGGCAGCAACACTGCCCTGCCGTTTTCAGGGCGCACTCAGCCCTCTGCTTCTAGAGCAAGCGGAGCGATAAGAGATCTTGGAAGCCGTGGAAAGCATCAGCGTCATGACTCCCTGCTCCCCGTGCCTGAGGGGCAATGATATGGGGGGGATTGGCATAGTGGGGGGAACATCCATCTGGAATCGGCGATGGACCCCCGATAGCAAGCCCGCACATTCCTGGGCGGGATGGGACTATCATACCCGTATCGGCGATCAATGGGCGATTGGGGGTCGATGCGTCCCCCCCTATGCCTGTCCCCCCTATCGTTGCCGGCGAGACCCTTCGAACGGAAGGACATGGGACCCGAGAATAAACCCGCCGGATCCCGGGGCTCTTCCCAAGGCTATCTCCTCTACCCGAACCGTTATGTTTTACGCGTTCGATCATGGACCCCTCGCCACGAATCTTGGCCTCTGAAGACCGCCGAAAGACCGCCGAAGACCGCCAGCGAGCGCGCGCCCCGCTGCGGGCGCTGGAGCCCGTCGGCGGTCGTCGGCGGTGTTCGGCGGTCGTCGGCGGTCTTTCGGCGGTCTTCGGCGGTCTTCGGCGGTCTGGACGGCGGCCCGACACGGTCTTCGGCGGTCATCGGTATGACAGCGGCACATTTCGTGTGAACAAGGGGTCCAGGAACGAACGCGTATAATTTTGCTGACGGTCCTCGCGCTCGGGAGGTGGCCTCAGGAGCCCCGGAACCGGTCAAAGTCTCTGGGCGCCGCTGAATGGGGGGGCGACGAGTACGGGTGGGTGGGTGGGAAGAGCATTATTCGGGCCCCAAGCGCCATTTAGGGTTAGGTCGGGCATGTCCCCCGACAGGCGGAGCTTGCACGAAAAAATAAAAAACCTAATAGACAATCCAAAACTATTCCCCCGACTACTTTTTTATAACTATGTTTGAATACCTTCCTGTAGAGGGACACGCCCGACTTAATTTCAGGGGCACTGAAGGGTCCCTTGTCTGCAGCCCTCGTTGCCCTTCACCTCATCGCACCCCCATTGCGCGCCCCCCAAGGCCCCAGGGCTCCCCTCCCTCCGGGCCCCTCTCGACCACGGCGGGCCTCTGCTCACACCTCTCCTCGAGCTGCCGAAGCTTCGCCTCCTCGGGGAAGGGAACAAGCACCGATACTGCGACTGTTCAATAGAAGGATGAACCAATCGAAACAAATATTGGACGATCCCACACGGAACTCCTGGCCAACCCATGTTGGTTAACGACGGCAAGACGACCTGTCACGGACAACCCCGTGGAGAACCCAGCGGGAATCCAGACAACCCCCCGGACAACCCCCCGCCTTGAACGAGACCCCCCAGATTTTTTGTCCATCATATATAATACGACGAGCACCTCCCGGCAACCCGAAACGGGGAGCAACAACGGTTGAGAGGCCCGGAAATTCGACGCGTTTCTGTGCAGCGTGACTCCACCGAAGTCTGGGCCCTTCCTGGGGACGGGTCTGGAGGGGGAGGATCAGCACGTGCTTGAAGAGCGCAGCAGGTTAGCTCCGCTCCGGCCCGCCATCCTGCTGCAAAGACTGGGCCTCTGCAGTCCTGGCTGACTCGCTGGCGAGAAAATCCTGGAGCCTGAGGGGTGGGCTCTGGAAGATGGGGAGAGCCTTAAACGAGGACTTCGGGTGTTTTCCCGCGCAGAGAAGTTTCCACAGGACATCGACTGCAGCCAAAAAGTGTATCAGGGACGGGTGGTAAGGACGCAAGATCCTTGGAGGCCGAAGTTGGGACTTTTTGGGCGGCGGGCGACCAGTGACGACGGCGACGGGCCGCAGTGGCAAGGGCACAAGGGTACCCTCGATGAAGGCGCGCGTCTTAAACGATTCGCGTTGGCTGCAGGAGGACTACGGAATTGATTTACCCCAGACTTGTTTCTTCATCGACTCTACACATCAGGTACGCAGGAAAGTCGTAGATCTACGAACATGATACACATCTTCCCCAAATCCGACGAACAGATCGATGCTGGGGTACCATGAGCGAAAAACATATCGGTATCCGCGGCCTCGCGGCCCAGGCCCCTGGGCAACGTCCCCGCGAAACAGGGGCGCTGTTTTCGCAGATGCCCTGCGCGGAACGCTCCGCACGAACGCGTATTCGCGGGATCGCGCCCCGGAAGCCCAACCGCAAGGGCGAGCACACGGATACGTTCGCTGCTCGTGATACACTAAAAACAATGATAATGAAAAACCACTCCTAACGCGCAACTGAACCGGGTGCATCGGCACATCTCGGGAATCTACTGACCCGGGTAAATCCAAACCCGGGTCAGTCAGGCTTCGCAGGATCCTGCAAGATCCTGCAAGATCCTGCACGCAAGCCTGGGTCAATGCACCCCTTGCCCTGCAGGACCCTGCACGATCCGACGCTCCGTTTGTTTGCATTGACCACCGTCTCAAAGCCCCCGACTCGTGACGCACCAAAGGCCACTCCGGCCAAAGCTCACTCCTACGTGCACCTGAGCCGAGCTCAAGGGCACATCCTGGGCGTTGCTTAACGGGGGGGCCAACAAATGGGGGAGGAAGAAAGGTGCAACTCTCGGGCCCTAGCACATCGGCATGCCTGAACAGGGGATGTGTCGACCCCTATCCCAGGCTTTGGGAGGCTTTTGACTGGACCAGAAACCTGGGGCCCAACTCTGGGATATTCGAGGGGGGGGGGGTCCATCCTCGATACGGGCGCGTCCGAGTAATTAGTCCCGTTGGGATGCATCCCAGGGTTCCCCACTTTGTCTGAGCGGCCAAACTTCGCGGGCGGAACTCAGGGATCGGCGGAGAACAATCGTCTGCGATGCCAAGACTGGACCTCCGACCGTTCCAATTTTTCGATGCGCGTGGCCCGCGGGTCCAGACCACTTCCCCAGGGCGGGCTTTTCGTCCTGAGCCGTTTCTTGACGCTCCCGAGTCCCGGCGAGGGCCCCCGGAGGCCGAAAACTGCCAAACTCCCTCCGCTCAAACTTTCTGCGAGGAAGAAAAGCGTAAACATAAACTGTTTGAAGTTCGCGTGGATTTCTTGGATCTGGGCTACAACCCCATCCCTGGCGCGCGGAGCGCGCCAGGGAGGGGGCCGCAGCGCGGATCAGAGAAATCCGAGCGGACCGTCGAACGTTTGTGTTCATGCCGTTTTTTGTTGTTCGATTTTTGTTGGAGCGTCGGATCTCGGCGCTTCTTGCGTATCCCCGATCTCACGTGCAACTGAACCGGGCGCACAGCACCTCGGCGGACCTTTGCACTACGGCTCTGGATGTCCAGACCACATCCGCGGGGCCGGCTTTTCGTCCTGAGCCGATTCTTGGCGCTCCCGGGGCCCAGCGAGGGCCCCCAGAGGCCGAAAACTACCAGACTCCCGCCGCTCCAACGTTCTTGGAGGAAAAACAACTGCATAAACATGAACTGTTGGAGGTCCGCGCTGTTTTCGTGGATCTGGGCTAGAGCCCCCCCCTGGCGCGCGGAGCGCGCCAGGGGCGGCGCTGGAGGCGCCGCCAGGGGGCCCCTGCGCGGATCCAAGAGATCCGCGCGGACCGTCGCGAATTTATGTGTATGCCGCATTTTGTTATTGTGAGCGTTTTCTTATTCGGCGCTTCGACATTGGGCGGAAGGGGCAGGGAAAGGGGGGGGTTCTGGCTCCAAACCTCTGCTTCATGCGACTGAGCTGCAACACTGCGTCGAGTGGGGGGGAGACCCCACCTGCTCGAAACAGGCACCAAAAACAGCCAAGATCCACTCCATGGTTATGTTGTCCCCATCGTACTTAAGGACTACATCCCAGAAATAATTTCGAGCACCCGGAAAGTTGTCGAAACAGTGTCGAAACAGTGTCGGACGAGTGTCTGCCAGGGCCCGACACGTGAAACCCTCGAGATTTTGGGTACTTCCCTGGTGCTCGAAATTTTGTTATGGTGATCAAGGCTCAAGTAGGTTGGAACATCATCACTCCATGGGGAGGGGGGGGGGGCGAGGGCACGCGCCGATCGGCAAAACAACGAATCACAAAACGATCGGCTTCGATTTTTGTTGGGGCGTCGGATGCTGGCGCTTCCTGCGTTGCGCCCCGCTGAGCCCGGCGCACCCGCACCTCTGCTCGCCTCGAGGCCCTAATTACGCGGCCCCCCAGGCCCGGCGAGGGCCCCCGGAGGCCGAAAACTGCTAGATTTCGTCGCTCCAACTTTCTTGAACGAGCGAACGTCAGCCTTGCGCCGGACGGCGCGCGAGCAGGGTGAGAGAGGCGATAATTAGTGCTGAAATGTAGCACCATTTACAGCTGGTGTCATTTCTTTACTGCCGACTCCAATGAAGCCGCTGCTCTGCCGTCGCGGAAGAAGGATGCAAACTACGCCTCCTGGGAGCCGGACAACTTTCTTGGAGGAAGAAAAAAACGACATGAACATACACTTTTGAAGGTTCGCGTGGGCTTCTCGAATCTGGGCCAGAACCCCCTCCCTCGCGCGCGGAGCGCGCCAGGGAGGGGGTCCCAGCGCGGATCCAAGGAGTCCGAGCAGACCGTCGGAAGTTTATAATAATGCAGTTTTTTGTTATTCGATTTTTGTTGGAGCGTCGGATCTCGGCGCGTCCTACGTTTCTCCGACCAGTGCCCCTCCAACGGGGACTCCACCAATGGGTACTTTGGCCATTGGCCCGGCGAACCCGACCCTCACCGATGTGGGCAACGCTGCGATGCCAGACAGAGGCTCTAAAAGGGGTTACCTTTCGGCAGTTTCCCAAGATACCCGTTAGGGTGTGCCCGTTGTGGTGCCGCTGACGTGCAGCTGAGCCAAGCGCACATCGGCACCTCGGCTTATGATGTCCCGACCTACTTCAGCCTTGGCTGACAGAAAGAACTTCGAGCGCCGGGAAAAGTATCCAAATTGGAGGGGTTCTCGCGCGTCGGGCCCGGAGGCGACACTTCGCCAACGTGTCGGGCAGACACGGTTTCGATACTTTTCTGGGTACTCGGAGCTATTTATGGGATGTGGTCCCAAACATGCGACGTCCTGATTTTTTCAATGCGGCGTCCCCGGAAGTCCCGACCCTTTCCCCGGGGCCGGTTTTTCATCCTGAGTTGTTTTTTACGGTCCCGAGGCCTGGCGAGGGCCTCCAGAGGCTAAAAATCGCAAAAACCTTGCCGTCCTGATCTTCTTGACGACACGATCATGTCTGGGTCGAAATTATGTCTGGGATCTGGTCGTTAAGTGCGATGGGGGGCAACATAAAACCTCTGCGCGCCTTTGCCCCCGCGGCTCCTGGCCCTCGCGGGCCGCGACGGCGGCGTCCCACAGCTGCTCCAGGCGCTGCAGCCGGCGGGCCTCGGGGCTGCGGCCCGTCAGCTCCTGGCACCTCCACAGGGGGGGCTTGGCCAGAAAAGGGCCCCAGGGCCCTCTGGGCGGGGACCCAAGTTGGGAGGGCCAAGAAACGACTCGGGAGAAGGGGGTCTTTTTGTTTATTTTGTTGCTCCTGCAGGTGTGCCAAACCAGAGCGCCCCGAATTGTGGCCCCCGGTGCAGAGCCGGGGACGGAAGCGAGGCCACGTCTTCCCCATGCTCGTCAGGGCTAGGGGCTCCTGCTGTCCTCGATAAGCAAAAGCCAGGAGGGGGGGGGGCGGCATAGCAGCACAGAGCGGGCCTGGGAAACGACAGCCCGGAGGTCAGACGCTCCAAGGAAAACCCAGAGGTCGATGCTCTGCTCGGATCTCTCGGATCCGCGCTGGGACCCCATCCCTGGCTCCGCGCGCCAGGGCCAGGTCCGAGAAACCCACGCGAACCTCAAGAAGTGTATGTGTATGCAGTGCTTCCTTCTCCAGGAAAGTTGGAGCGGCGGGATTTGGGCAGTGTTCAGCCTCCAGGGGTCCTCGCTGGGCCTCGGAGCGTCAAAGAGTGGCTCTGCGCGAAAACCAGGCCCAGGGGAGGTGGTCCGGACCCACGCATCGAACCAAATTGGAGCGGCCAGATTTCTGGGAAGGCCGTTTGTATTGCTCGTCTTCGTGTTCGTTATGCCATGTTGCTTCTCGGTTCGGGTGCCACTATGTTTCGGTTCCGGCGCCTTCTTGTTTGGGTTTCCGGCTATGGTTTCGATCCTGAAACAATTTTACTTGCCCGCTTCGGTGAACCATGTTTTGTGTTTGACCATTTCATCCTCCAGAACAAGGTTGCCGGAAACGGAGAAACAAAACGGCCCTTACACTTCCAAGAACCACTAAGCATGGGCATGCTAGGAAGCTGGAAACGCACATGCATTGGTGGTTTGAGGCGTATTTCGGGGAGGAGTTTGGCCCTTCCCCTCCCCCCTCCCATGGGTCTCGAGGCCCAGTGTGGCTCAAATGCGGCTCTATAGAGCCATGCTGGAGCCATACTCGACCTCCAACATCGTACGAGATAGTGCAAGATGCTCCAAGATGGCATCCAACGTTCCTCCAAGAGGCCGCACGACGTAGACCTCCCAGAGAAGGCTCCGAGTGGCCACGGAGCCTCCCGAGGATACATCCAAGAGGCCAGAGCTATTTCAAATCCTGAGGAACCAAACGCAGAATCCTTGCATTCTCGCTCTCTCCCTTCCGCTGGGCGTCTGAGGCCTCCTATGCTCCAATATGGCCCAATATAGCCCCAGGAGGGGAACGACAGGGCTCCAATACTAACCTCTGAGCGTCCAAGAGCGTTTTGAGAGGGTGGCGCAATTTGGCGGGCTCCAGAGAGCGGCCCTCACTGAGAACCCCTCTTATTTGATCGATGGCATCCAAAATGGCCCCGCGAGGGCCCCCAAGGCTCCCAAAGGAACCCCCGCGAGAGCACCACGAGGGCCCAAGAGAGCCTCAAAATCTTTCGAACACCCCCCGATCGAAAGAACCGAGAAGGCATTTGTGGTTGACTCTTGAGTCTGCTCAGGCTGATCCCGAACTTAGGCTTGACGGCTGTCCCCCCCGTTGTTCCACTGCTCGCTCCTGCACTTCCCTGGCCAAGGTAACCCACCCAAGCATCACTTCTGGATGGGCTGGTGGGAATTCACGTCGGTCAGAGGAAGCAGGTAGAAACATGAAGTAGGAAGGCAGGTAAAGTCGATTAGGCTCAGGCCATCCTAGATAATAACCAAACGCAACAAGAGCATATCGATGATTGCAGTAGGAAGGCGCCCAAAAACGATTGGAGTATGGGAATCCAAGAACACTACTTTCAACGACCAGCGTGTGCGCGAAGCGCCCGGCCATGGCGAAGGCTTGGGATGGAACGAGAGGGAAGGATGCACATGGAGGGGAAGAAAAAACGGGACCATGACCAAGTCTCACCGCGTAAACGTTACAGGACGAGGAAACCATCGAGCGAGGATAGATCAGATTCGGCGGCTCTGGAGGATGTATCAGACACCACGGCCTTCTCAGAGCGATCCGGAACGCTCTGAGAGAGTTCCGGAACGCTCTGGGGATCTATCCTCGTCCTAGCCCCGTCCGATGTCTGTCACCGTCAATCTTGGCCTGCGTCAGTAATTAGTGGATCATCCTCGAGGGCGCGCAAGCATCGATCGGGGGAGGTGCCCTACCCCCCTTGAGCCATCTTTGCGATCGCCTGACACCCCCGCGAGTCGGCGACGGTCGGCATGGACCATGATCAAAATCGGCGTCGACACAATGCAGCGACGCAATGGTCATGGTCAGTGTGCTTGTCCACCCGAGCAGGGGCGCCCTCGGCCAGACCACTCGTCCTCACAACACAGCACGGCCCAGCCGTGTCAGAGAAAAAAACAAACAATATGCTCCGGATTTTTTAAGAAGCGGCGGGGGGGCGTCACCCCCGCCGACAGCCCCGCATCGACCCCCGTCGCGGGTAGCCACCGCGCGCCGGAGGCGCTCCGACCCCCGTCGCGGCGCAACGACGAGGCGAGGTTGACCCCCCCGACGGGGGGGTACCCCCCCACGCTTGTGAAGAAACCCATAGTCGCACAAATTCTCTTGGATCGGCGCGGGACCCCCCTCCTGGCGAGCGGAGCGCGCCAGGGGCGGTGCTGGAGGCGCCGCCATGGGGGCCCCAGCGCCGATCCAAAATCCGCGCGGAGCTTCGAGAGTTCATGTTGATGCCGTTTTTAGGTGGCGACACCCGAGCCCTACCCCACCAATCAACGATTCTCCTGCACCGATGGGAGGCGGGGGTAGGGTTCGGACTTCGCCACGTGCTCGGCGAATTCCGAACCCTACCCTGGCCGCCCACATGGTTTCCTGAATCGTTGTTCGACGAGGGTGCGGTTCGGATGTCGTCGCCCAACTTTGTCTTCCTCGACGTGTGCTCGTGCCGCAAGGGACCCTAACTTCGCGCTTCGCGCTGCGCGAATCACTTCGGGCTCTCGCGCCGCCATCCAAGGGAGAAGAAAGGGATCAAGAAGAGTCGGAGCCAAACCGCGAAGCTCGAAGCGTGAATCACTTCGCGCTCTCGCGCCGTCCCCCAAGGGAGAAGAAGGGGATGAGGAGGAATCGGAGACGAACCGCGAAGCACGAATCACTTCGAGCTCTCGCGCCGCCCCCCAGGGGAGAAGAGGAGGATGAAGAGTACTCGGAGCCGGAGCGCGAAGCGCGCATAACTCCGCGCTCTCGAGGACGCCCTTGTGAGGGGCAGCGATGGGGGGAGGATAGGCATCAGGGGGGACACATCGACCTGGAATCGGCGTTACATAGCCGATGGATTTGCGGTAAGCCCCCGATGGCGAATCTGCACGCTACCAAGCGGGGTGGGGTTATCAGAACCCCATCGGCGATCAGTGGGCGAGTAGGGGTCGATGCATCCTCCCCCTATGCCTGTCCCCCCATCGTTGCCCCTGGCCCTGATCTTGACGTGGTGCTCATGCCGTGCTTATCAGAAGAAGAAAACACTACATAAACATAAACTGTTGGCGCTCTGCGCGGATTTCTTGAATCTGCGCTGACCCCCCTCCCTGGCACGCGGAGCGTGCCAGGGGCGGCGCCGCAGACGCCGCCGGGGGGGGGCCAAGCGCGGATCCAAGAAATCCGCGCGGAGCGCCAACAGTTTATGTTCATGCCGTTGTTTCTTCTTCGAGTGCTTGGGCCTCCCTCCGACGCCTCTGCTCGAGCTGCTGCAGTCTCGCCTCCGTGCCCTCGCTGGCCGCGCGCGCCGCGCCCCACCGCTCCTCTCGGGGATCTGCTGACCCGGGTCAATCCTGACTCGGGTCAGTCGGGCCTTGCAGGATCCTGCAAGAGATCCTGCCAGATCCTGCGCCCGAGCCCGGGTCAATGGCGCGAAGGATCCTGCAGGATCCTGCGAGAGCGGGCGCCCTGGCTGAACCCCGTTTGCGTTGACTCCCGTCTCTTGAGGCCCGACGGTCCGACTGTAGGCGTCCCCGGACGTCCCGATACCCTTTCCCCAGAACCGTTTTTTCCTCCCGAGTCGTCTTTGGACGGCCCCGGGGCCCGGCGAGGGCCTCCAGAGGCCGAAATCGACGAAGAACCTCCGTCCTGCATTTTTTTACGACGCGAGCATGTCTGGCTCCCCCGTCTCGGGGCTCCCAGTCCTCCAGGCTCTGCAGCCTGCCGGCGTCCTCACCACGGGCGGCCAGCTCCGCCTGGAGGCGGCCCAGCGACTCGGCGTGCCCCTGCAGCGCCCCCTCGACGTGCTCCAGCCGCGCCTCTGCTAAGGTTTGGTCGGGCAAGTCCCCTACAGGCGGTTTTGGACGAAGAATAAGAAATATTAAAAAATGATCAGAAATTATCCCGGCAAAGCAACCTTACAGCGATGTGTAGGAGCATATCTGGAAGCATTCCCCTTAAGATTCAGATGAGAATCCAGCTGTAGAATTCTGCTGTTCTCGCAGTCGTAGTCGCATTCGCGATGACAGTCGCAGTGGCAACGGCAGTCGCAGTCACAGCCTCAGCCTGCCTCAGCCTCAGCCTCAGCCTGCCTCAGCCTCAGCCTGCCTCAGCCTCAGCCTCAGCCTGCTTCAGCCTCAGCCTCAGTCTGCCTTCAGCCTCGGCCTCAGCCTCAGCCTGCCTCAGC